TCTCTCTCTCTCTCTCTCTCTCGCGCTCTCTCTCTGTGTGTGTGTGTGTGTGTGTGTGTGTGTGTGTGGGTAGGGTATTTTTTCTAATATGATATTTATGCAGATTTTTAGGAAAGTGAGAAAGTGACCCATACTATTTATTATATGTGGACTGGTACCTTTTACACAATGGGCACATTCAGTTTAAGGTACTGTAAATATTAAAGATATCTTGAAGGTCAGGTATGTTGGTTGGCTTAATCCTGACCCAGGACTAGAGAAGTTGAGACAGGAAGACTGAATTGAAGTTAGCATGGTCTTCATAGGGAGACTTTCTCTTAAACAAAATTAGTTATTGAAAGTAGCTATAGTGGTTTAAAGTTTGTGGAAGGAGTCTGAACTGTTGTATTTAAAACCATGGTAGTGAGGACTAGGGATATAGGCCAGTGGGAGAAGGTATACTTAATGTGTAACAAGGCTCTGGGTTTCATCCCTGTCATCAAAACAAACAAAAACCCACAAAATTGGATGGGATCATAGGATTCTAGGGTGTGAGTATAACTGGAAAAGAGAAGTTACCATGGACAATTCTTGGGATGTTACAGTGTTAAAAGGTTGGGAAGATAGGGATAACTGATAAGAAGACCAAGGAGAAATAGCCGGTGATGTGGGAAGAAAACTAAGTTCTAGTGTATTTGGAAAGGGAAATGGACATTATGTTCCAAGGATGAAAGGATCAACTGTCCCAGGTACTACAGATCAATATGATGACCATTAGTGACCCTGGTCAGCTCAGTATGATGGAGAGCAGGACATATGCACCCTGAATGTGAGTGAACTTAGGAGAGAGCAGGAAAGAAAAGCTAGAGATGGTGTATATGACTTAGGGGACTGTGCTGCAACAAAGAGCAGCTGGAGGAAGTTGTTTTGATTCATGTAAAGGTTTTGTTTTGTTTTTAAGATGGAGGAATAACAGCATGTATTTATGCTGATGGAAAGACTCCAGTGGAGTGGAAGACTGGTGTAGGATCAAGGAGAAATGCTGGAACTGAGTCCCTGAGCAGTTTAGAGGCCAAAGTCTTCGGTCAGTCTCTGGGGAGAGACTGGATTGCACTGAGCCCTTGCACAGAGTCAGGGGTGAGTACTCTGATGGTGGCCTCGGGTAACCACTGGGAAGATAACCTCAGATAGGAGACAGGCCAGGGGCTAGTTTGAAGGAACCTGCTTTTCTCTAATTCCCAAAAGCAGATTCTAATTCAGTTTTGAGTAGATGATCAACAGGAAAGACAGTATTTCATGTGGGGACTGGCAGGAGCAGGGCACACTCATTCAAACTGACTGATTACAGATGGGCAGGAGGATATAGATGGACCTAGGTGAAGGGGACAAAGTGTGACTGAGATGATGCCATTGGTACAAAGCAGTATGTGGGCTTCCCTCAACTGTGGTCCACCTAGGGATCTGAGGCTTCACTCTGCCAACCCCCAGACTGTGTAGGTGCTGAGCAACGAGATTAGAACCATGTGTAGGGTCTTAGTTTTATCTCTAGATCTAACCATCTGAAAGGATTTTTAGTAAGTAGGAGAATGTATAAAATTCTTTCTCTTGCTTGGCCCCACCTCAGACTATTTGGTTAAACCTGGTGGGAAGGGATGGACACTGGGGAGGGTGGATGGCTTCTCAGGTTCCTGGCAGCAGACCCTGGATCCAACAAGGATAACATGGAACACGGGGCTTTCTCCCCTCATTCTGGTCTCTGCATGCCCTTCTGTGTCTCTAGAAGTCAACAGTGTGGGAAGTTGGAACGACCAAGCTGGATGTAACCCTCAGGACAGAATGGTGCTGGATTCAGGGGCTCAGGTGTATGAGCGGGCACCCCCCAGCCCACCTGCCAGTCCCCCATCTCAGTGCCATAGGTTGAAGTCCTCAAACCGAAATGGGCCACCCCTGTACCCCTGGCCTCAGTCCCTGGCTATGCCGTTGGCTCTGGCAGTTCCCTCAACACTACAATCCCAGCCTATGTGGAAGACCTTCTCACAGCTACAACTGAGACAGCGTAGCCACATGCGTCGTAGTGAGAGCACCTACAATGTAAATAGTACTGGCCAGCGGGGGCGAGGCAAAACTCCACGGGTATGTGATCCAAGTGGAGGGACCCTAAGGCCTGCAGCCTCCTTACCTCACATTGCTAAGACTCGAAAGGATTTAGGCAATGGTGGCAGCAAGAGCCCCTGCATGTTAGTGGCCCTGCGACCAACCAACATGGACCAGGAACGGGATAAGTTCTTCCAGTCCCATTACACCTACAATCCACAGTTCGAGTACCAGGAACCGATGCCAATGAGTGTGCTGGAGAAGTATCAGGAGGCCTCTGGACAGTTCATCCAACAGGTCAGTCTGGCCTGCCCATTTCACCCTGGCCCTGACTCCCCAAGGGACCTAGCCTGACTAGTGACTGTGGCCCTGTGTACAGGCAGTTGGCATCATTGAGGCTGTCCTGGAGAAGTTTGGCACTTATGAACACTTTGAGGCTGCCACAGGGGGCCAGCTGCTGACCAAGTGCCAAATTTGGTCCATTGTACGCAAATACATGCAGAAGGAAGGCTGTGTTGGGGAGGTAAGTTTGCCCTATCTACAGGACCCATCTTCTATATGCCCCAAATCAGGTCCACCTATATACCTGGCCAGCTGTAATCCCCAGATATATTCCTGCCCCAGCCCCAGTTAAGGAAGAGCTGGATTTGAAAGGTGGATGTCCTAGCCAGTGTCTAGCCTGGTGTCTGCCCCCTAGCTTTCAGGGCTTGTAAACCATGGCTCATAGCCCTGCCGCCCTGCAGGTTGTGGTCCAGCTGAGTGAGAACCTGCTGTCCCAGGCAGTGATGATGGTGGAGAACAGCCGACCCACATTGGCCATCAACTTGACTGGAGCCCGCCAGTATTGGTTGGAGGGCATGCTGCGGCATGAGATAGGTCAGTCTGCAGGTGGCATTTGTGTGGGTGGGTAGGGTTGAAAGGTATTAAGAGATGGGGGAAGGCAGAGCAACGTGGGGCTTCAATAGTGCCCTCCTTTCTCCCCTTTCCTTCCCTCTGGGAGAAAACAGGCCTGTTGATCCCTAAGCAGATACTTCTTCCTTCTCATTCATAGAATTAGGTCAGACTTGCCTGTCCACCATCATTCTTCCTTTGGTTATCTCTTCAATTCCTCTCTGATTTCCTTTGACAGTGAAGGGAAGACTTCTGAGGTCCTAACAGATCAGAAAGAATTCTGAGGGTTCCACAGACTAGTAGTTGACATACAGTCTCGCCAGGGTGGGTAGCAGGCCAGATCCTAGGAATGGAATTACTTGAAGAAGACACATGGATAAAAGTTGAGACCAAAGCCTGGAGAAGTTTGGGCATTGGTGGTGCACGCCTTTAATCCCAGCACTCGGGAGGCAGAGGCAGATGGATCTCTGTGAGTTCGAGACCAGCCTGGTCTGCAAGAGCTAGTTCTAGGACAGCCTCCAAAGCCACAGAGAAACCCTGTCTTGAAAAACCAATAAATAAATAAATAAATAAATAAATAAATAAATAAATAAAATAAAAAAGTTGAGACCATACTAGGAAGGCAAGCATAGGACACTAGTCACTGTCCTCACCAGATGTGAATCTTGTTGCTCTGGGCAAGAAGTGATTTTGATTGGGGCATTTGCATGACTGTCAAGATGGTTGGCATGGGTACTAGGGTGTTGGGGCAGGGTGGCATATGCTTGGTCTCTAGGAGGGCTGGGGCACAGTATGAGTTGGTGTGCAGGAGATGAAAAAATAGGCAGAGAGTAATCTATCCTGGACCAAGAATCTTCTTGCTGCTGGAGTTGAGTGAGGATGAATTTAGGTAGGGCTTGGGGTGACTTGTGTGAGGTGAATTTGGGAGCATCAAAACTAACTCTCTACTAGAGGTCCTCGGAGTGAGTTCAGCCACCTCTTCATCCTCCCTGCAGGCACTCACTACCTGCGTGGTGTGAACAATTCACGACAGCCGTGGCACAGCACTGAAGGCAGATTGCAGTATGGGCTTCGGCCAGCCAACCCCACTGAGGAGGGCCTGGCCAGCCTGCATAGTGTGCTGTTTCGAAAGCAACCATTCCTGTGGCGTGCAGCCCTGCTGTACTACACCATTCACCAGGCTGCGCACATGTCCTTCCGCCAGCTCTTCCAGGATCTGGCGCAGTATGTGCAGGATGAGGCTGTACGATGGGAGTACTGTGTCCGGGCAAAGAGAGGACAGACAGATACCTCCCGGCCAGGTGGGAGTTGCGGAGTTGGGGGAATGCCCAAGCTGGTGCAAAGTGAAGGGTGGCTTTTGGGTAAGGGGTTACTGATTCTCACTCTCTCAGGCTGCTTCAGCAAAGACCAGGTGTACCTGGATGGTATTGTGCGCATCCTGCGGCACCGTCAGACCATCGATTTCCCACTGCTGACCTCACTAGGCAAGGTAAGGGGGCAGCAGGCCTGCAGAGGCCCAGCCAGCTTCTCCTTTCTCCCTGTACCTCTGAGTCATAGAGGCCTGCAAACCAGGCCTCTCCGGTGGTAAGAACCTGGGAGGGATGGAGGTAAGCAGACAAGAAGAAAAAGAATTTGGGTATCCAAGATGAGATATATGACCCAGCCAACAGATGTGTGCATACATTTCAAAGGAAGTGAGTGTTCCAGGACAAGGTAGCAGTCAAAAAGTTCTAGGGAAGGAAGCTGGAGAAATGGCCACGGACCAAAACCCAAGTCCTGAGTATCTGAACTAGATCGAGGAAAGCAAAGGGGAATTAGAGGAGCTGGAATAAAGGTGTGGCTCAGCTTTGCTTTAGGAGTCTCCTACTGGATGTCATGTGGGAGGGGCACTGAAAAAGGCCTAGTTGGCAAGCGGAGGAGGCTTTCCATCGCTGTTACAGAATTGATAATGGTTTGACCTAGCCAGGCAGTAGCATGGATGCAAAGGGATAAACTACAGACAGTAGAACTCTTTATCTGTTTGACTCCCTGAATGGGAAGATGAGAACCCAGCTTCCCTTTCCTGGACCTGACTGTGGTGACTGTGAAGAGGTGGGACTGGCAGCTGACATTCAGCAGTCTTGTGTTGGATGTGGGAGATACCTGAGAGATACCAGGTATCAGTTGAATACTGTTTAGAGGTGAGGGGATAAGGTAGCTGGGCCGGAGGGGAATGGGTTGTAGAATACAGATGGAAGATGTAGAGAGAAAGAGGAAAGACCCAGGGCTGAGCCTGAAGGTACCTATTGTAGGAATAGATCAGGAATAGAGGAATCATCGCAGGGGCAAATAGCCATGAGCCATTAGTATATCTGGGACTAGCTGCTTGAAAGCCAAGGGCTGTGATTAGCCCTGAGGCTTTGTTTTCTCCCTATAGGTCTCCTATGAAGATGTGGACCAACTGAGGCCCCATGGAATACTAGATAATGCCCGGGTGCCCCACTTTATGAAGGACTTGGGACGATACAGGCAGCAGCTAGAATACATCATGGCTACCAACCGGCTGGATGAAGCAGAGCTGGGCCGCCTGCTGCCTGACTGATGTTGGATATAGACAGAAGCTCTTGACAGAGGTCTCAGATGAGAATATGAAGCTTTTTATGGTTCCATAGCCTAGGTGTTTCTTGGGGGGCACTGGGAGTCCAGGAGCATCTTGGGAAGATGAGAGGCAACGTCAAAAGGTTTTTGTCCTTGCTAGTTTTCCTAGGGTCTGTGAACTAGAAGCAGCATGTTATGTAATCCTGAGCAGGGGAGACCTGGGGATGGAGGGGGACTGAGTGTGAATAGGAGTGTGGGTTGGTTTGGGAATAGAAATTTGTTCCTGCATGAGATGGCTTTGGGTGTCTGGTTTCCCCCACCTGGACCATTGGTGCTCTTCAGCATTTGGACTGTCTACCTCTCACTGGGTCTAGTGGGAGTTGGGATCCCCTCTGAGGTGACGTGCCTGAGCATAGGGTCCTGGCTTTCACTCAGGCTCAGAGACCCAGCTGGGCTGGAGTTTGCTTTTCAGCATTTTATCTCTCTCATTGGTTTTATATTATTCCATATTTGCCTCCATGCATTCATTATTCATGCCTCCAGCTGGGACTGGGAGGCAGCACCTCCTAAAAGTTCAGTGGAGGGCAGGATACTTTTGGAAAGGTACCATTTGTTCCTAGCCCCCTCCCCCCCTTTTTTGTTTGTTTGTTTTTCAAGACAGGGTTTCTCTGTAGCTTTGGAGCCTGCCCTGGAACTCGCTCTGTAAACCATGCTGGCCTCGAACTCACAGAAATCTGCCTGCCTTCCCCCCCACCCCCAGTGCTGGGATTAATGGTGTGTACACCACCACCCGACCCTAGTTCCCCACTTATCACACATTGGACTTCAGGCCTTGTGAGTCCAGCACCTGGCCCCTCCCTCAGTCTCCACACTAGTCCTGGTTGTGCCTGTCTTTGACCAAACCCTCACAGCTGGTCTCTGGCAGTGGTTGGTGCAGGCTGGGAGCAACCACAATCAAACCTGCAGGTCAGGCCTATAGGATTTGTTATCTTAAGTTCTGAATCTGTCTGGGTCCAGAAGTACAGAGCTAGTTAATGCTTCCATTTACATATCAGATTCAGCCCTGAGAGACTGAGCCAGTATTGTCCCTACCCTGGTCTTTTATTTCTCATCTGTGAAGCTTGGAAACACAGTTGGGAAGTTCTTATTAATTAACTTAATAGGTATGTACAGAGCTCCTTGTGTATGTCTGTGAGTAGTTAGACCCTCACTGAGCTCCCAGTTCAAAGGAAAGCCAGATAATTAAACAGCAGTTACAATGATGTGTGTGGCCTCTGTCTACTCAAGCACCCTCTCAGATCTCCCCTTCAAGACTGGAAATTCCAAGGCTCCCCTCATTCGGTGTGTGTGTGTGTGTGTGTGTGTGTGTGTGTGTGTGTGCGTGCATGTGTGTGTGTGTGTGTGTGTGTGTGTGTGTGTGTGTGTGCAGGTCCCTCTTCCCTGGCTCAGTATACGAGCCCTAGTGATTTCCAACGGTTACCTACACAGGCTCTCAACTGGCTCCCGAAGGGAAGGAGAGCAGTGGGGCAGGGGTCACACCCCATTAGGGGCATGAGACTTACAGAAATACAGTTTGGGCTATTTTGGAGGTGGAATGCAGTTGCTAGGGTGGGGGTATTTCACACACGCCTGCTCAGGTCAGTGGGATCCAAACCCATGCCCACCCTCAGTTCCTGAGCAAAGAACCAGAGTTGTGGAGAGTCAGGTCCAGGCTAACAAGTTTATTCATTTTACAGGACAGGGAGTCTCAGTGCATTGAGTCAAGCTCTGGCAGGTTCCTGGGTCTTACCGGCTTGGGTAGGGCTTGTGCAGGTCAGGATGCTGGCTTTCAGGAATCTAAAGACAAGATGATGGTCAGTAGATCAGGTATCAGCCCTCATTACACGCTCTAACAAGCTTGGAAGCAAGGGTTTATGCAGTCTCACAACCTTCGGACTCATCCTCCTCTTCTTGGAAGTCTGGCTCTGGCTCTGGCTCCGGCTCTAGTTCCGGCTCTGGCTCTGGCTCCGGCTCTAGTTCCGGCTCTGGCTCCAGCTCCGGTTCTAGTTCAGGCTCTGGTTCTGCCTCTGGTTCTGGTTCCGGTTCCATTTGTTGTTCCAGTTCTGGTTTATCCCCTTCAGAGGCTTCAGCTTCTAGTTCTGGCTCCTCTGGGGTCCCAGATTGCACTGCCTCAGAGCCCTCAGGACCTCCGACCTCCTCTTGCTCTGAAGCTCTGGGCAGACCAGGACATGTGGTCCCTGAACTAGGTACCTCAGGCGTCCAGTGGCCTGGACATGGAGGGTCATAGCTGCGGTCCCGGTAGCCTGGGGGAGAAAGTGGAATACTTGAGGCTCAGTTCACCCCTCTGTGGTTTGTTGCCTCCGCATTCTCTGCCCTCCACTTACCCTTAGTTTTGCCTCACCCCAAGTCACACCCCCATCTCAACAAGGCTCCACCCTCCTGGTGCTCACCAGGCCCCACGTGGTGCCAATCCCAGGAAGGGTCTGGCACACGCACGGTATGCTGGGCACAGCGCAGTAGCTCCTGGCAGGCTGCCTCGCCCTTGCTTTGCACCAACAACAGCAGACGGCGCACCCTGCGCTCTGCATCAGGCAGTGCATCCAAGGCTTCATACTCAGGCCCAGTGAGCACACCCCGGGCCACCAGCGCATCCAGCAGCAGCCCAGAGTCAGCCTGTAATGTATCTACCAGCCGTTTCCGTTCCCGGTCAATGGTCTCCGATGGCCGCTCCTGTACGTTGCCCATGTTTGGGCTATATCAAGGAGAAGGAGAGAAATGGGGGGTGGTGTGGGGGGCTGGCGTTCCCACACGCTGACCTCTCCCAGGAGGGATCTAAGTTCACCTGGACATCAGAGTCTGGATGTTTCTTCAGCGGAAGACCTGGAAGCCAGGGGCACAGAACTCACCCTCCAGCCTGTTGGTTGCCTTTGTTCTGACTCCTTAGATTCCTCTTCTGGTCTCTACCCGTTAGCTGAATGCTCTCACTAGTTAGGACTTCCCTCCTAAGCCCTGGCCACCTGTCCAGCTGGCCACCAGTTGAGACTCAATTTATCCAACTGAATTATTTTTTCTAAACTCAATTCCTTACCTAAACTGGCAGAAAACCCTAGGATTAATTCCTATCTCCTTCCTGAACCCTGCAGCAAACCTTGGATCAGGGCAGCCCAGCTGATCTCTCATACAATCTGAGATGCATCCAAAGCCAAAAGTGCTGAGGCATGCATGCACCATTCACCTAACCCCGGGGTCCATGCATTCCAGAACCTTGCCCTTTCACTCACCACCAGACTGCACTTCAGCATGGTCTGTGACTTGTCCTGGTTCCTTACTATCTAAGCAGGAGAACGGAGTACTCCTGAATTTTAACAGACCTCCTGTCCTCAGGGACTCATCTGTTTCCCTGATGGCCTGGCAGTGACACACAGCCATCTCTTACTTGACCTTGAAACATCCAAGGCCCAGCTCTTAAAAGCCATTAAGGAATGCTTACCAAACTTTTAGTTTCCTCTGTGGATTATCCATTTTAAGAGGCTGCCTCTACCAAACTAGGAAATGGGTGCAAATTAATCTACTCTGCTCATGTATTATCATCTAAGGACTACTTCCCGCTTGGGTTGTGTGGCCAGTCAGCATTAAGGAAAAAAGAAATCTGGCCTTAGCTTTGTCCATATAGCATCCTTCTAGGTCTCTTCTGTCCTGAATGTCCCTATCCTACCTTCTTCTTTCCTAGGCCATTGGATCCCATACCCCAACACACACACACACACACACACACACACACACACACACACACACACACACAGCATGCCTCCCAGGTTTCAGGACTCTCACACTATACTGTTCCTGGTCCAGTCACTTTATACCTTGGGTCCCCCTCCACCCCTCATATCTAAGTGACAGCTCTTCCCCAAGGCCACTAAGCACAGACCAGGGACATTTCCTCCCACTCTATCCTGTTGCTGGAGTTTCTTGTCCCCCACCCCAGGTTCCACTGCCACTTGAGCCCCAAATAAACTCATGAACGCTATATTAATTATCAAACTATTGGCCGATGGCTAGGGCTTCTTATTGGCTAATTCTGTCCTAATTATTAACCCATTTCTATTCATCTAAGTATTGCCATGTGGTCTTATCTTACTGGAGAAGAGTTCGGACCATGGACCTGTTACTCCTTCTGGGGCTACATGGCATTTCTCTTTGCCTATGTTTCCCAGAATTCTCGTCTCTTAGTCCCCCCTATCTTCTGGCCTCTAGTGGCCAAACTGTTTTATTCATCAACCAATAAGAACATATATACAGAAGGACATCCCCCATCACTATCCCCCTTCTCTGTCATATGCCCTATAGTCACTCTGCATCAGCTCCTGCCCCTTAAGCCCCCCATCAGCAGTTTGTCTCCCAGAACAATGAGGGCCTCTGAGTACCTCACTCACGGCTACTCCTCCCCTCCCTCACTCCAACATAGTGACTTTGACAACTCTGGGCTAGCATTTATTGTTCCAGTTTTATGGGTGAAGAGACAGGCTCAGAAAAACCCAGTACAACTGCGATCTGACTCACCCTAGCTTAAACTATAATGTCTCTTGCCTAGTTGAATGCCAGGCCTATCCTCCTCATTACCCATCAAATAATCTAAGCTACCTGGTCTGGCTATTTTAATTCCCTCCCTATCACCCTTGCCAGCCAGTTCTTTGCCATTTACATCCACCATTCAGTCCTGCAAGAACATTTATGGTCCTGGCACCTTAGCCTTTGCTGGTGCTGTTCCCTAGGTCTGGGGAGTCTCTTCTCTTCCCCTCTATTCTATGGATCTAGCCCTCAAGACTGAAATGCTCCCATGTCTACCCCAATTCTTAAGAGTTTAAAGGTAGCTATGGTTGTACTTACAGGGAAGGGGGTGAGGCCTTCACCTATTCTGGCCAGACTTTGAGGCTGGATCTTCTCTTTTCCCATCTCTGTACCTTAAGTTATTTTTATGTTAGCTGTCTCCCCGGTAACTTAAGTATTACCTTTTGTCTTGTCTGAGAAGCAGAGACCCTAGCTGTTTTAGACCTTAACTCATTGATTTTTTTCCGAGACAGGGTTTCGCTATTGTAGCCCTGGCTGTCCTGGAACTCAGACATCCGCCTGCTTCTGCCTCCTGCGTGCTGGGTTTAAAGGCTGCTGCCACCACCACCCGCCTAGCCCCTAGCTGATTTGGGGCCTCCCTTTGAGGTTATCACAGCTCTAGGGTAAACTCTGGTTATGCCCTGGCCAGTACATCAAAGGACAAGACTAAATGTTACTTTGAGCCCCAGGTGACCTGGCCTGGTCTGGGACCCCCAGCTTGCTGACTGGCTGGGATTTGTTGGGGAACCAGGGTGGAACCTGCAAGAGGTGGTCGCGCATGCGCAACCGCAAGGGTACCCTCCAGCCCTCAACTCAATTCTAAAGCCCTGAAGAAGAGCGGGGCCCACAGACCTTCGAGCTCCGCTGCTGGGGGTGAGGCTCGGTACTCTGCCCAATCTGTTTCCTTTCTCTCCCTGCTGGGTGGAGTCCGGCTTGTGGTCCGGAGCGTTTCGGACAGCCCCACAACGGAGTTGAGCCTCACCGGGGCAGATGACGGTGCAGAAAGGGCAGAGCAAGCAGGGTGGGGACGCGAACGGCAGCTGCAAAGGGGGCGGGGCGGCCAGGGCTGCCGGGAATGGGGAGGGGGAGGGGTGTGCTTCTCTGCTTCGGCGAACTCGGACGCCAGAAGAGGCCACGCTCTGGCAGGGGGACGCATAGTCCGTTCTCTTCCCCGGCCCCAGAGCACCCGGATTTGAGTCAGGGGGTCAGCTCAGCTCACAGTACCACGGGTCCAGCCCATTCTGGGCCTTCTAATTGCTAGGTGCTTTTAATTTGCCCTCCTACGACCTCTCCCTCCGCCTGTCACAGATAAGTTTATAGAAGGGAACTGACTTGTCCAGAGTCTGAGACACGTATATAGAGGAGTTGGATGTGGCGCGGAAACGCCTGCTTCCTGGAGGTTACAGTGGCTGGCATTTCAGTAGAAGTGGGAGAGTTAGCCTCTCCCAAGTACCACCATTCTCCAGGTAGGGGTTTCCATGAAAGTCCGAGCGTCTGGACGTTTCTGGATCCAAACATCTGGACACTTGTATGAACGCAAAGTCGTCGCCCACCCATGACTCTAATGATCTTTGGTTGATAGAAAAAAAGAGAGACCAGAAACAGAGTGGGGGAATGCAGTTTATGTTGTAGAATTCACTGGGGTAGTGGA